TAATTCCTTCTTTATTCCTTGACTATTTATTTTTTGTCTTGAATGATTCAGCAGAAGAGAATTCATCTGCTTCCCTTAGAATTAGATGAGGGGATTTATAGGTATAGAAGAACTGCAAATCCTGTCTCCTTTTGTGGAGAATAATTGTAAAAGATCTTACACTAGCAGTGCCAGAACTTTTGAATTTTAAATTTTCACTGCTAAAATGGGTATTTCTTAGGTTGGAAATGCCACCCGCTCTAGTCCTCCCAAAATAATTCCAGTCTTGAGTCAGACATTACTAAGCTTCCTGCTACAACAGTCACAGATGGCAGCCTGTGCAAATAGATCTTTGCTGGTGTGGATTGGAAGAAGCAGTCTGGGGAGTATTTGGAGGCTTACCAGATGTTAACTATCTTTAGTTAGAGGTTGGTGAGTCTGCTGGGACTGTGTAACCTCTGCAAGAAGAGGTGATCCTCAGCAGGCTTCAGTAGACAGCATTTCCTATTTCGTGGTGAAATGTAACTCAGATTTGATCTCTTCATCATAATAAAAATATCATTAGAGTTTCTTTTGAAGTACTGGGAGGGAGTAGGTGGGGGAGGAGAAATCTAGTAAACTGAATGTAAAGCTTGCAAATGTTCCCAGGCACTGCCAGCTGGCTATAGATTTTTCTTGGCTCTTGTTGCAAGCCCTTTTGAACTTTAAGAAATGCAAAGGCCCATGATGGCCCCATAAGCAAATTCTTTGAGTGAAAGGATAACACTGTCAAAGCCCTTTGTGGTTTTTACATCAACTAAGCTACAAGTAAAGGTGGATATTTGTGGCATAAAAATACGAAGCTGTGTGCTTTGCAAAAGACTTTAGTCCTAGTTTACCTTCATTCACAGACTCCCTCGTGTCTTTGTGTCAGCGATCCAGTCAGACAAATCCCTCCGTCCCTTGACAAGCATATCAAGTGCATGCCTGCAATCTGGAAAGTCAGTTGATGCCATCTGGTCAAGTGCTAATGAGGCTGCTGGAATGCTAGTGTCAAATGTTACCTTAACCTAAACAGACTCCATGTGAGATGATGCTAGACTTTTTCCTGTATCTTTCATATATTGGCACAGTTGAACTCTGAACATGTGATTCCTCACTGAGTTTTATCAGCTGGTCTAGGTGAAAACGGGGGCATTCTGTACTAAGACCCTGTGCAGCAGTAGTATGTGAGTGGTATCAATGTGAAGAGACAGCCACATACTGAACAGTATGAAAAGACCAGTTCTTTCCTGTAGTAGCCCCAAATGAGAAGCAAGGAAAGCCTTTGCATCTGTTAGGTGCTCTTGAGCCTTCCACCTGATATTAGAGCTTTAGTTGTTTATTTCATGTGCAGCCTTTCACAAATGTCTTCAAATATTTTTTGTCTGTATGGAAGCCTGTGCCCTGATTTTAATTTGAAAAGGTCTGTAGGTGTGTCACAATTCTAGTGTGGCAGAACTTGCTGAAATTTTGGGTGGTAAGTGCTTAACCTATCTTGTATTAATATGGTAATATATGATAACATCATGTTTGAGTAGCCCCTCTTGAGTGCAGGTGGAAACAACTGGTGAGTTTTAGTGTAGCAATACTCCCAGTAGTGTGTGAAGGAAGTCCTATCACTCCTGCATTGTGGACTGAAATCTATTTCCTATGCTTTTGTTTTTTCTGAATTTTTTAAGTGGGAGGCCTGAGTTTGATTCTTGGTCACATTTGGAAGTCAGAGCAATGCCCAAAGCTAGACCTTTTCTACTTTGTGGGATGTGCTATCTCAGCCACTAGAAGTGTATCAGAATGACAGAGATAAAGGTACCGATTACAGAAAGTCATGAAGCCTCACAGAAAGAAGACTGTGGTGCCAGGCTGTGGGAGTATGAGTTTTCCTCTCCTCCACAGGGCTCTGACTGCAACATTGATCAGTGCTTGACTGCTTTTTAATCAAGTGACTTTGCTCTGCCCTTTGCTCCCTGCCTTAAGGGTGCTCCTGTGAAAAACCTGCCTTCTGCTGAGAGCAAGAGAAAAGTGACATGAAATCTCTTTGTACTAGTGCTCTGTTCCCTGCAGAGAGCAACAGGTAAAGGATCTTATTTATGTCTTGCCTTCAAGAGGATAAAGTTTGTTGAATTTGTTACAGTCTGTGACTTCAGGTATCTCCTCCTCTGCCTTCCAGTTACTGTTACTCTTTCTTGTTTTCAGGAAAATCATTCTTATCTTAACAACATGCGCTTGCTGCTCGCTGTTGCTAACTGATGAATAGCTAACGTTTTTCATTATTGAATATTGAGTTAACATGTCTGGCTCAGTTGTGTTCTGCCCCTGGAGCAGCAAAGATAGAATTAAATCCAAGCACTGAAGAGAATTTCAGTTTGAGAGATGAGGACTAACAGAAAAAGCACTACCGCTGCAGTGAATGCTGCTTATAAATTTTGTGCAAAAAAAAACGTTAGTGCAACATCACTAATGAAGTTGAAGGCCAGATTTTACACAGCTGCAAATAAAATTAATGCTGTGTTTTACTGTGTCTGGACTGATCTTTCCCACTATACATCTCATGTATTGCACAGCAGAGGTGGTAAGGATAGCTGCTGGTGTCTACCTGCCCACAGACAGGTGCAGTGGTGTTGGGGCTGTGCTAAGGAAAGTGATTCGGATGGATATCTTCAGAGGGATAAATCTACAGACAGGTTTTTACCAGACATGTTTATATATATATGTTTATATAATAAACATATCTTAATGTTTATTAGAGTTTCCTATTTGCGTGGCTAAGCAGTTACTGTTATGTGAAGCCAGAGGGAATGGGACACATCATTATTTATCTCAAGAGCAGTGGAGGGTTTTCACTCCGTGTGCCTGTGTGCAAGTCTGTACCATGGAGGAGTCCTGCATCTCCTTGCCTCTTCTGGTAGTATTTTGAGTGCCCTGGGAGGCCTACTAAGGGCTGGTTAGTGAGGCAGCCCTTACTTTCAAGAGCCAGAACAGCATTTGTGATGGCCTGCAATAAACTGAACTCAAGCAATTGAGCTCAGATATTGATTTATTAAGGAGTTTGGGCATTGGAAATTTTCATCCCTTGGGAATATCTGACTGGGAATGTTGCTGATACTGTTGGATGCTTTGCTAAACCCAAGGGAGAATCAGGTGTGGCTGGAACACTTCACACTGGTGAAGACTGAGCAAAAAAGTTGTTGAGTACCTTGGCCTTCTCCATGTCCCAGGTAAGCATGTATCCTATTTCCTTACCAAGGAGGACCCACATTTTCCTTTTATCACTGATGTACCTAAAGAAGGTTTTCTTGTTGCCTTTGACATCTCTGGCCTGATTTTAATTTTTAATTCTCTTGAGGCTTTAGCTTTCCTAACATGACCCCTGGTTACTCAGACAATCTCTCTGTATTCTTCCCAGGCTACCTGTCCTCACTTCCACTCTGTGTAGGCTTCCTCTTTGTGTTTCAGTTAGTCCAAGAGTTTGTTGCTCATCTGTGTGGGCTAGTATACCATAGCCTCTGGAGGCTGTCCCTCTTCATCCAGCAAGGGCGGCTGAAAGTCTTTTGAATCAGCTCTTAGGTGCTACAGTGTCTCAGGCAGGCATGTTAACATAATAAAGAACTTTAGCTTAATTGCCAACAGCTACTGCAACCTGCTGATGGCCTGAGCTGCTCCCGTTTGGTCCGTGCATCAGAACCCCAGTTTGCACAGAGTAGCCTGATTTAGATGATGTAAGCAATATGGCTACACAGCTTCCACTTGGTTTTCAGGGTGGGCAAAAGTTATTTATGCCCTTCTGTATAGGGACTATGCCTTTTTCCTCTTACGTGGAAGAAAACTATGTACTTACTTATTTTTCCCTTTCCTAGAGAAAGCACTTCTACTGCATTTATAGTGTTTACCCTTTCCTTTTGAATTCCATTAATTTATGTTTGTTTTCACTTCTCCATCCCCAGTGTTGAATCCTACCTTTTCTACTAACTTTTCCTGAATGGCTCTATTTCTCCCTTGAATTCTTTTTCTGGCCTCAAAATTATTTGCATATGTTTACAGGGAGAGTAGATATGTATGTAAATGGAATTGTCTTTGCCATGGTAATATGATCTTCAAAGGCTTGGACTGCAGTCACTTTACTGCATTCTTTACACAAAATGTTTTTCTTGGCAAGTTGCTGCCAACAAAGTTGCTGCAAGGGCCCAATCCTGCTAATTGCCTCCTGCTCCCACTGAACTCATGGGGCTTATATGCAAAAAAAAAAAAATCCCCCAAACTTTCAAATTAGAGTTGTGTGTTCTTTACACAGTTATGTTCATGTTCTACCATTTTGTCCTTTCTTTACTGATGTGATCTGGAAGTGATCATTGGTTCTTAACTTTTCATGACCATTTGTTGTGTGTTAAAATACAGGAGTCTGTAGCAATGGAGGGGGGTAGCTAGGTTCCAGTCCAACATGGAAACGGTGGTTTAGGAGAGGTCTGCCTTTATGAAGGTAGTCCACAGGGAGTCCTGAGTATGAGACATCACTACCTCTTTTTGTACCTGTTTTTTATCTTTACCAGCAAAGCTGGTCAGTGTGTGCTTTGCTGTGGGCTGCAAAATCATGAGCTGTGGTGGGTAAGGAAGTTGTACACCCCAGGGCTGGGGAGAGAGGATACGTAATCTCGTGAGCAAAGCAGGAAAAGAGTGCATTAGTGCTATGTGTCATCAGCTTGTATTGGAAGCCCCACCACAAAATTCTCAGTGGAGTGGACCTATGCCTTCCACCAGAGTAGATCTGAGAGGTGATAAGGTGAACACACACGTGATTCTACTGCAGTGTCCTCAAGTCTCTCAGTCTAAAACCTTTTCTGTGTTCTAATACTTTCCTGATCTTGGGACTGTGGAAGATGGAAAAGAACCCCCTGCTACTGCCCTTAAGTCCCAATCCTGTTCTTCCAGTAAGAGGTCACATATTGGGAGTTACCCAGGCTCCCAGCCCTCTGGGTGCTTGCTTAACAGCATGACCCCTCAAACCTTAGCTGGAAAAACTGTGAGCATAGGGGGCAGACAGATAATTCACAAGCCTTTTTTGTAGCTATCAGAGCTACTGTCTTACAAATATAGCAGCTATTCATTAGGGAGTATTAATTGGTATAGTCATACGTGCTACTCTCTATTTGCTCTGGAAACTGAGAGAAGCCATTTATATGTGTTGAAGTATAAACTTCTGTAACAGTGGGGGGTGTTCTCAAAATCCCACTTACCACAGGCAGCTGGCCCCAGTTTTTTTCCTGCTTGAACATATGTGGAGTACTGTGGTTTACCCAGGGCTCAAACTAGTCTAGCTGTTTAAGGTAAAAATCAGAGTTGTTTATTTAGAAGCTATTTTTGATATCACAAAAGTGATATCAAAAGGTGTTTCAAAAAGAAATAATTTGTGAAGATGCCTACCATGTGGATAATTCAGCACTTACGTTGTTGTGAAGTGTTGAGATGTGACTCTGAAATAGTCGCATGTTTTACTCAAGTCAAGAATGCTGCAGGCAATGGCAAGAACAGAGAATTTCAGTAAGGGGAAAGTGTGTTAATTATCCATGCAAGATGTTCACACTTGCTGCTGTGTTTCATATGTTTTCATATCTGCTGAAGCAAAGCAAGAAAAGTGTTGTGCTGGGGCAGTGTGCATGCATGGCTTAGAGCTGAATAGATGTAAATGGTTAAAAAGGGGTTCTCTGCTAGAGAGGAGGAGGGGAAAGTAAGAGTGCATTCCCAAAAAAGTACATTCCCAAAATAAAAAGCTTACATCATGGACCTCTTCAGTTTTCCCACACTTCTTTCCTAATTATTATCCTGCAGGACAGCTGATCTATTTCAAACAGGAAGCTGTTTACAGATAACACTTGCAACTGTTTTGTCTGATTTGTTGAACTGTCGAAAAGCAAAAGACAACCTCTTTTCAAATTAAAAACTGTCAGACTTCTGTAAACAGCAGCAATGAGGTTCATCTGTGCAGTGTCCCTGCAGGCACAGAGCATTCTGCAGTTCCCATTTTCTCAGCAGCCATAAGGTAAGAGACTTTTATGCTTTAATTCTGTAGAAGCAAGTAGAGGAAAAAGTCTGTGTTTGTTAGGGGGCTGCCTTGTATAAGACAAAATATGATTGACAATCCCCAAATAGTAAGGGAAGGTAAGGAAAAAAAGAGCTTGATATCTATCGGGTAACACTGGACCTTTCTACTGTGAAGCACCCATGTGGGTTAGATCACTGAATTCCTGTTTCGTTTAAGGGGGGTTGTATTTAAAATATACAAATGCCATTGGAAGAGCTCACTTTCCATTTAGCAGGGAAGGACAAAGCAGTATATGAATTTTAACTTTTTCTACAATTGAAACTTATTTTACTTCATTAACGGGTTGTAATTACTGGTAACAGATATAGGCAGTTCTCTGTTTTCTGCTTTAAAAAGTGATCTTTTAATACAGCTGCAAGGCTGGCATTGCAGAAGTGAAACATGACAGAAGGTCCAGTAAGAGCTGGAGTTACACCACTGGATAATTAAGAGCAATCTCAATGAAAACCAAATCATGTTGGAAGTAGTACTATGCAGAAATGCTTAATGAGATATAAGGATGTATAAAGATAAAAAATCTTGTTCTAAATGAGCAGGAATATGAGAATAAACCATACTTTGGTAAGCAGAAGGGCATGTATGTCTGCTTTTCAGTTGTGAGCTATGAAAAATTGAGATTCATAAGGGATTTGTGAGTTTCCATTCTGACCTCTGTGCGTACATATATATGTGCTCAGTATAGGCAGTGAAATTCTGAAGGGGGATTGTTTTCGAGCGAAATCAAATAGATGTGGAGAATCTTACCCAACTTTACTTGCCATATAGTGAAAGAGAGCAACTGGACTGGAAATACTACAACTTTGACCCTTGGGTATTGAAAGATTTTTAAAATATGGCAAATGTAAAAACTGTTGCCCTATGTTTTCCTCTCTGTAGCTGAGATCTTTTATATTTCATATCTATATAATTGTTTACATGATCATGAACATTTAAGGCATTATAGTGATCAGAAAATACAATACAAACACTGATTTAAAGGTCTCACTTATAACAGTGATACCATCCCTAAAATTTTAGTATGTTACTTATGCAGCATCGGTAAGGTATTCTGATGTTGTAGACAAGAAGTTAGACTTCCAAGCTGAGTATTCCTTTTAAAAATGTTTGGACTGTCTTTCATAAAATTCTTAGATGTATTTGTTACAATGAAATTATTGTTTGGATTAATGTATGAAAGAAAATATTTAACTTAAATTCATAGTCAAAATGGCATTTTAAACATGGCATAGTCCCAGAGTCAACAGAGAATTGCAGTGTGGAAGCAGCAGAAATCTACTGTGTAATTTGTAACTGTACATTATGTTCAAAACTATTTTTTCTGATTACTTTTGAGTGATTTTACACTGTTTCTAAAGCTCTTATTTAGTCATCTTTAGGGCTGTTCAGAAACTCTTGAGCCAGAATCCTTTTAAAGGAGGAAGACTTCTGGCAAAATACCTTTTTAAAGTAAAGTGTCAGTTCTCTGGGATAGTTTAGTTCTTTTGTCACATTATTTTGGCTGAAAACCAGGAGCGTTTAGCCAAAAATATTCTCATGGTTTCTCTGGGGAAGCGTAGTTTGTGCTTTGCACTGCCTTTCACTACTGGCTGAACTTCACAGCTGAACCATGCTTCCCATACAGCTGTGTGGTCAGGGTCTGGCTATTTTAATTTCCCTTGATGAAAGGAGTGTTAAGATGTATTTTGGAAAAGGTAGTCTAGTGAAAGAGGCACAGACTGGGCTCATAAGGCATCAGCTGGTCAATAACTAGTTGGCAGCTTCTTAAATTTCGACTCCTTCCTTCTGTTTTGCACGAGCCATCCTGTTTTTCAGCTGTGAGAGTAGGACCCTTCAAAACAGAGTAATATGTCAGTAGAAGGTTTAAAGCCTTTTGACGTTTTTATCCATGCAAACAACTGTACATGTTTCTAAGGCTTTGTTAGTGCTTCTGCCAACTTTTGTGCTAAACGTGCTCCATTTTATATATTCAGAACAGAAAAACGCAAGGGAGCATGGCTGAATTTTAAGATCTTTTAAGAACTCTGAAGTCAAGAGGCAAACAACCTAGTAGGAACCTGAAACTTTCGAAAGAGGCGATTTTTGAAAACCCAGCAAGGTCTCATCTCACCCATTTAAGTGTCTCTTCAGAAAAATGTAGTCCTGGGTGATTTGCCTTTAGTTGTATAAGATGTCTGTAGACAAGAAAAGAATGGAAGTTGGTCTGCTCAAGTTCTTTGTTAGTGCACCAGTCTCTTACTTGTTCATTAGGATCCAGGGTTCCTTAGCTGCTGGGACTGTTCGAATGCTACTGCCTCAAAACTGTATCAGAAGGTTAGTTAGAAGTTCCATAGGGTGTCCTGGAGGCCAGGACAGAGCAGTAAGACAGATGGTGGGGAGTTTTAGGGTTTACATTGGTTTCCTTCTGCAACGAATCATAGAATGGTTTGGGTTGGTTAAAAAATCATCTAGTCCAATAGTACAGCACATGAGTGAAGCACAGACATGAACAAAGTGTCACAGTGCTGCAAGGTCGATACCAGGCTCCAGACCAAGAATCAGCAATGTTTAGCTGTTATATGGAGTGAATGGAGAAGACCTATGTGCTGAAGAAGGTGACTCACCACAGACAACCAAGTGTGTGAGGGCCACAGCAGCTGTCTGAAAATTGTTTGTGAGAGAGGTCCTTCATGATTCCCTCTGCTGGATGCAGGAGTGGATAAATTCACTATCTCTAGTGCCAAGTGCCTGGAGAAACTCAAGTTCCAGGAGGTGGAAGCTTGCCTTGAATGTGTGTGCCCAGTTTTCCTTCAAGCATGGAGGCTTTGAAAAATGGCTCTGAGAAAAGAGTTTTGTACAGTTCTCTTTGAAAAATGAACTGCTGCTACCCAACTATCATGTAATAACATACTGTCTGGGACCACTTATCTGGGAAACAGGAGATCCAGATGCAGCTCATTGCACTGCTTCAAACCCCCACCTCCCATCTGCTGAAAAGGTGCCCTTGTCTCTAACCAACATAGTAATTTGGAAATGGGACCACTGTGGATTGTGTCCACAGCTCCCAAGGCAATTTCGGATTGTTGATACTGCTTTGAATTTATACAAGAAAAAAGAGAAGGTCTAAACAGTCCAGGGAAGTCTATTCCTTTGGCATGAGAAGCTAGCCTGCATAAGAAGCTAGCTTGCAAGAGAATGGCATGTCCCCACCATGTTTTAGAAGGGAATGGCAGTGTTTTCTATCCTTCCCGTTTATCATGTGCTTAGAGGAGACTGAATGAATTTGGGTATGTTTTCTTGATGGGCATAAAAGGACTAGGTGGGAGAATAGTGTCTTGTTCTCTTCAGGCAAGATGTTGACTATCCCTGGTCTGTGCACTTAGAAAAGCTTAGGTGCTCAAGTTTTCCAATAAAACCACAGGAACCTACTGCCTCTTAAGGTGGCTGAATTGTTAGGAGATGTTTTTGGATGCTTTGAACATGGGATGAGGCCACAGGTACAGATTCAGTGGTAGTATTGACTTAAGCAGCTCTCATCTGGAGGTTTAGGGGTGAAGAATGTGGGCAAAGGATGGAGAGTGGAAAGAGAAACTGCCTCAGCTTTGACTGGTTTTTGAGTAGGGATCTTGAAGAGCAAAGCTGTGCACACATAGGTGTGCTTAGGTTCCTGGTGCCTGTCTTTGTCTAGTCTTAAGCGTGGCTCACTCTGTGATTATTTTCTTTTTGTCTTGCTTACTAACTGCAGAATAAGTATAAATAATAACAAGAAAACATTCCTACAGACAACACTCTAAGATTTTCAGTTTAATTTGAGTGATTATCAGGCTTAGTTGTGGATCACCCCAAAATCTCCTGTTATGGTGCTGATGATTTTAGCAGATACTGAAACTTGCTGAAAATAGGCATGCATTTATGCATCTTTAGTGGACTCTTTAGAAATGATCCATGGGCCTTCAAGAGACCATGGATCAGATGTTGATTTGATCTCCATGTGGTCTGAATGCCAGGGTCAATCTGCTCATTTGGAAGGACAAAACAATATAAGTGATTTTATAATTTTTATTCTACTTGTAAGTAGAATTTTTGATTATCATCAGAGAAAGATTTGTAAGAGATCATCTAATTTTTGGGAATTAAAACAAAGAGCTTTTAAAAATTCTTATGTGAAAGAACTGGAAATGTTAGATGGCACAGTAATTATGGCCAATCAAGATAAAAACATCAGACAAGAATGTAATGAAGGCCTAGCCCAGAGAACAGCAAAAAATGTCTTATTACATAGGAAAAGAAAAATGTGTCTCAATGAACTTCCTTGTCAGAATGGTGTTAATGAGAAAACAGGTCTCTGATGGCTCACTGGGGTAGAGCTACGTTCAGGAAATGTTAAGGAAACAGATACTGAGAACATGTGGCAGAGCAAGAGAAGGGCTCATCATGCATGCTGGGGAGACTCCAGGGCAATGGATCTGTAGGCAGCACCCGCAGGTGCAGTGAACTCAAAGTTTAAAGCTAATGTGGAGATAAAGTGAGGTGATGTAACAAGAGCTGTGTTAAGAGCTGCAGCTGAAAAACCTCTTTATTGGAGATTTTCTTCTTTTCCTCTTCAATATCATCACAAATTGGGTTTGTTCAACCTGGAGAAGGAAGGCTTTGGGGTGATCTAATTGCAACCTCCCCAGTACCTGAAGGGAGCCATCAAGAAGGATGTGGAGAGACTTTTTACAAGGGCATGTAGTGACAAGACAAGGGGGAAAGGGCTTCAAATTGAAAGAAAGTAGGTTTAGATTAGATATTAGGAAGAAATTCTTTACTGTGAGGGTGGTGAGGCTCTGGAATATGTTGCCCAGGGAAGTTTTGGATACCCCATTCCTGTAACTGTTCAAGGCTAAGTTAGGCAGAGCTCTGAGCAGCCTGGTCTAGTGAAAGGTGTCCCTGCCCATGGCAGGGGGATTGGAACCAGG